CACACACACACACACACGCCCACGCCAACGCCCACAGTCACGCCCACGCCGACGCACTCGCCCACGCCCACGCCCACGCCCACGCACACGCACACGATCACGCACACACGCACACACGCGCGCACACACTCGCGTACACGATGGCACCCACGCACTTTATCCCGTCGCGGCGCGGCAATGGCGATCCGAGCGCGCGTCCGAGCAACCCGGGCTACGGCGTTGCGAATTGTACCGCGTGCAAGAGAAAGGGAGATGGGGGGGGCGCGCACTCAAACGGCGGGGCCGCGGGGGGCGCGCGGGGCGGTCGGGCTGCGGGGCAGCCCCTGGCAGCGGCCGCGGGGCGGCTTCGCGAACGCACCCAGGGGAGGGGCCGGCAGCCGCGGTGCGGGGCGGGCCCACCACGTGGGGCAGTGGGGAGGTGGCCGCCAAACGGGCAGGGCAGGCGAGAGGCGACGGCGCAGGCGGGCTGCGGAGGGCTGGGCGGGCGGACCAGCGCGGCGCGGCGCCGCGCCGCGAGCGCGCATCGCCCCGAGGCTGAAGTCCAGTGGGGACCCCAATGGCGCCGCCAAGACAACAGGACCGAGACTTGGGCGGAAGTGGTGGACCGCCGCAAGGGGACGTGCGGCGCGCTCTTCGTGGGAGGGAACAGGGCCTGCGATCGGGGGGGCGGAAAAGGGTCATGGCAAAGGCGCCTACAACCCGAGCGGCCACGACCCCTTTTGCCAGGCGTTCCTGGAGGAGCTGGCCACCCCGGATCACGACATCAGGCGCCTCTGCCGCAACCGGCGCCTGGATGTGCATTGGGACGCTGTCTGGCGGCAGCAGCAGATCAGACGCGCGCAGCAGACGTCCGGCAAGGGGCAGGGCGGCAAGAGGCAGAGCGAGCCCACCTGGCCCGCGGGAGATCACTCCCGGCTGCGAGGCTGGTGAAGCACGGAGGCCCGGGCGGCCCTCGGGGCCGCGCCAGGGCCCGCAGCGCCGCGTGCGTGCAGGCGTCCAACCCAGGCGTTCTGCACAAGTCTCCACCAGCAAGCGCACCAGTTAGGTGCTTCCGTTTGCCTGGTTGCGCCGGATCCGCGGGGGCTTTCCAACACAGGATAATAAGATAAGACGGCACTGAGGACGACGTCCGGCCCGCCAGCTTGGAGCTCAGAAGAGCTCGAAAAACGTGCCGAAGAGCAGCGCGGCCACGTCAGCCATCGCCCCGCACCTTCACCGGCACGCCGAGGGGGCCTCTGCTCACTCCCGCACCGGCGGAGCGCGCGCGCCCTGGCCGGCGGTGGTGATTCCACCTGCCTGGGCTCCAGCGTGGAGCACTCGCCCACCCGGCTGTGCTGACGACTGTGTGTGGAGGAGGAGGAGAAGGAGCAGGAGGAGGAGGAGGAGGAGGAGGAGGAGGAGGAGGAGGAGATGGAGGAGGAGGAGGAGGAGGAGGAGGAGGAGGAGGAGGAGGAGGAGGAGGAGGAGGAGGAGGAGGAGGAGGATGGGAGGAGGGGGAGGCCTTCCAGGCCCAGGAGAGGCGGCCGCGCCCCCTGTGCCCCGCCAGCGAGCGCACCAGCCAGGTGCTGCGCTCTGCCGGGCTCTGCCCGCGGCGGCGCCTGCGCCCCTCCAGCCCAGGCCTCTGTTGCGGCAGGAGGCCGACTTTTTCGGCCGCGACCGCCTCGCCCAGAGCGCTGCCAGACCTGCGAGGTCACGCGGATGACTTGGGGAGGGGGAGGCCGTGCAAGGTAGAGGCCCCGACGACACGGCACGTGCACCAACCTCCGGAGGTCCGCGGGGGTGTTTTTCTCAGAATCGGCGCTGGACCGCGCACCCCACGTCGGCGCGTGGGACGCGCGGGGGGCGTCGCCGGAGGAGCCGCCGCGAGTAGGAACTCAACCGTCCGGCGCCTCGAACAAGAATCGAGGCGGCGGGTTTGTCGCCATTCTTGGCCTCCTGAGCCCAGAAGACGGCTCGACGCAAAGCTGGCCCTGGGGAAGGGGTCGAGAGATCCAGGGGCCCACGTGTCGAAGCAAACCACATCGCGGAAGGTGCGGGGATAGGGGTCCAGCGCCGAACAAAGATATCTGCGCTACCCTCCAAGCGTTTCGGCTCGTTTCTCCTCCTCCTCCTGCCCCTATCGCGCTTCTTTGCAGATGACCCCTCCCTGTCGCACCCCAGACGTGTTGGGGTAGGGCGGGCCCGGCGTTTCGCTTGAGACTTCCTCACCAAAGATCCTGAAGCCTGAAACTCGCAACGGTAACAAGGATTGAGCACGAACCATATTTTTCGTGAAGGTCCTACGAGTAGGGAGAAGGAGGGAGGCGTAGCAGGAAGAGGAGGAGGAGGAGGAGGAGGAGGAGGAGGAGGAGGGGGAGGAGGAGGAGGAGGAGCAGGGAGGGATGAGGAGGAGGGAGGAGGAGGAGGAGGAGGAGGAGGAGGAGGAGGAGGTGGAGGAGGAGGAGGAGGAGGAGGAGGAGGAGGAGGAGGAGGAGGAGGGAGGAAGAGGAGGAGGAGGAGGAGGAGGAGGAGGAGGAGGAGGAGGAGGAGGAGGTGGGAGGAGAGGCAAGGAGGGGAGGAAACAGAGAACGAGGGGGAAGGGCGCCGCCGCTCAGAGCTCCTGGTGCACCGCCTCGTGCGGCCTCAGCGCGGCGGCCGCCGCGCCGTCGCCGTGACCCCCGAACTCGAAGAGTCTCGGGTCGCAGGCGGCGGGGTGTGCCATCGTAGCCTCGCCGCAAGAGGGCCAAAGGGAGCAGGCAGGGAGGGGGGTCTGGACCTGCGGCGGGCTGTCTCGCTTGGTGGATGCCATGACAATTGACACCCTAACAATCCGATCGTTAGATTAAACATGTGTTTGACTTGTCAGAGAAATGTTCAGACAATGTTTCAACCATGTTTTACATGTTTAGGACATGTTTACAACATGTTTAAGACATCTGGAAATTACTTGGCAACGTGCTTCCTCTCCATTGATCGTCGTCCGCAAGTCTCGCTCCATCGCGGCCCTCTGCCCTTGATCTCGGCCCATCGGGGGTGGGGCCGTCCTCGGAGCTCTCCCCCGGGGGCACGCCGGAGGAGGGGCACCCGCGGCGGGAAAACCACGGTTGCCGGAGGCAGGTGGTCGAGGCCTCTCTGGGGCGCCACGCGGGCGAGGCAAAACGCATCGTCCGGATGCCGGGGGACAGGGGGCAGGGGGGATGAGGGAGGACGAGGAGGATGACGCATCGTCCGGATGACGGGGGAGGAGGGAGGATGAGGAGGACGAAGAGGACAGAGGAGGATGAGGAGGATGAGAATGAGGGGGGGGTGCGAGAGACACGCATCGTCCGGATGACGGGGGGGAGGAGGGAGGACGGGGAGGATGAGGAGGAAACAGGGACGAGGGTTTTTTGTTTTTGCTCCCTCCCATCAGATCTTTTGGATGCAGTCGGACGTTTGTCGGCGGCTCCCTGCAGGTTTTACCTGCTGTCGGAGGTTTCGCGGTCTCTGGGCAGGGAGGGAGGAGGGGGACGGGGAGGGGGAGAAATGGGTGAGGAGGGAGAGGGGCCTAGGTGGGAGTAAGGGCACGGGAAGTAGGGCGGGGAGGCGGCAGAGGGTGAAGGAGGAAGCGGCGGAGCTGCGGCCTCGTAGTAGCACTGGGAAGGCTCTTTGATCGCCTCCAGCTTCAAGGCCTCGCCGCACTCGAAGGTGACGCGGACGGACCGCTTCCTCCCGTGGGTGCACCTGGACCCCCCCTCGTAGACTGCGGCGTGAGCGTGATCGCTGTCCCAGCCTGACCACGACCCCAGCTTCGTCGAGCCTTGGTGGGCGTCGCCGAACACGCAAATCTTGTACATGTACTTCTCAAACCTGCCCTCGCCGCACCGCTCCGCGAACAGGCCGTACGCCGCCCGCCCGCCGTCGAAGTCGGTGGCTATTTTGGCCTCCAGCTCCTGGACCTCCTCTGGATTCCAGAACTCCGCGGCCCCGAGCACTCGGCTGCCCCACTTGAGCAACAACAAAAGAAGAGTCTTACGCGAGATATCATAAAGACCTTACGCCGCGGCATACGCGGGTCGCCAGCGCGGTACATCGCGTGGAGAAGGGGGCGCTGACGTGCAACCTTGGGGCGGCTTTCTCAGAAGCACGGGGGGCTTCTGGGAAGGCAGGAAGCTCCTTAGAAGCTATCCTGGCTTCGTAGAAGCCCCCCTGGAGGCTTGGAAGGCCCGTCGGGGACATCCTGTAGCACTGAGAAGGCACCGTAGAACCCGTACACCCTGTCCCCGAACTTTGAAGGGCATGGGCCCTTCGGGTTGGGTTGGGGTGGTGTGGCGAGTAGCCAGCCAGGCCAGCCAACCCGCCAAGCGTCCAGCGCCGCGTCCGCCCCCCCGTTGGCTCCCTGGTGTCGCGCCTCCCCCGCCGGCTGCCCCTCCTCCGCCTCCTCCTCCTCCTCCTCCTCCTCCTCCTCCTCCTCCTCCTCTTCCTCTTCCTCTCCTCCTCCTCCTCTTCCTTCTCCTCCTCTTCCTTCTCCTCTTTCTCCTCCTCCTCCTCCTCCACTTCCTCCTCTTCCTCATCCTCCTGCTCCTCCTCCTGTTTCTCTTCCTCCTCCTCCTCCTTCTTCTCCTCCGCCTCCTCCTCTTCCTCCCGCCCCAGCTCCTCCTCCTCCTCCCCCTCTCCTCCTCCACCCCTCTTCATTATACATAACCCTTCCTGTCTCATCCCAAGACGTGTCGGTAGGGCGGGCCAGGCGTTTCGCTTGCGACTTCCTCATCATTCAGGATTCCGCAGCTAGAGATGTGGAGCTGCTTCAGGGATGGATGGCGGGCCGTTTTGAAAAAATGCGGCTCTCGCCTGAGCGCCGCGAGCACCAGTCTTAAAACTTTGCGGCAGCTTCATGGATGGAGGGCGGCCCGCTTTCAAAATGTGGCTCTCGCCTGGGCGCCACGCACATTCGTCGTACAGTTTGCAACAGCTCTTGAGATGGAGGGCGGGTCGTTTTCAAAATGTGGCTCTCGCCTGAGCGCCGCGCGCATTTGTCTCACACTGTTGCAGCTGTTTGATGGATTCGTATCGTTGGAGTCCCAGGAATGGCGTCCTGTCGCGATTTAGGACTGTCAGGGTGCAACACTCGCGTTGGTTCACGGTGCTGAAATCCCAAGAAACGGTGTTCTGCCACGACTTGCGATTGTCAAGATGCAATACTCTCATCGGTTCTGGGCGTTGAAGTCCCAGGAACGGGATCTTGGCACGATTGACGATTCTAAGACGGTTGTCTTCCAATGGGGCACTTGCCGCAATGCGAAAAAAATCTTGTTGGGCCTGTGAAGGGGGAGCGTAGAGGGAGGGTTTATTTCAACATCGTTGGTGCGGTTTGGGTTTACACTTGTCCTCCTCCTCCTCCTCCTCCTCCTCATCCTCCTCCTGCTCCTCCTCTTCCTCCCGAGCACCTCCTCCGCCGCCTCCTCGACAACTCCGCCACCTCCTCCCTCAGACATCCGATGTCTTGATGTGTTCGATACGGGGTCCCCGGGAGTCGCCCCTTCCCCAGTGCCGGTTGTTGATCCCGCGGCATTTTTTTAAGCTCCTAGGTCCAGCGTGGGGCACCAAAGGCCGAAAACGGCCATGAACATTCCGTAGTGCCATTTTTCACGACGCGAACATGTCTGGGTCTCCTCCTCCTCCTTCTCCTCCTCCTCCTCCTCCTCCTCCTTCTCCTCCTCCTCCTCCTCCTCCTCCCTCCTATTTTGGACAAAGAAGATCCGCCAGCGTGCCTTGAGCACGAAGTAAGTTGAGTGCACGAATAGGCATTGAAGGATCCTGGAATTCTTGAGGGCCCAGACCGTCAGTTTGCCGGGATTCCCGGGCGTGCCCAGGATTCTTGCGCATGAGCCTCACAGACGCGCATCCCGTCCAAAACGACGCGCACATCCACCAGAGCGGGCCCAACGAGGTCCCAAGAACCCCCAAGACGGGATAACACAACGCAGCCTCAAGACAGCTCAAGAAGTCCCCATGACGCTTCAAGAAAGCTCCTAGCGGACCTCCAAGGTGGCATCCAAAGGCCACTTCGGCTTTTGATGGATTTCCGCGCCGGTTCTCGCCTTTCCTAACCTCCGAACGCCAAAGGGGGCATCCAGCCCGGCCGAAAACTAGCCAAGAGGCACCCTGGAGAGCACCAGGACGGCCCACGGGCCTATTGGAAGGGCCCAGGAGGCCTCCAGGACGACCCGAAGAGGGGCCCCAAAGGGGGGAACACGAAGCGACGTTTGGCGGGCTCCAGAAACCCTGTAACCACAAATGTGGCCATCTCGTGGGGGCACACCTTTTACTCCCGCCGGCTTCCGCTGGCCCGATTTTACCCCCGCTGCCTTCCGCCGCTCTTTCGCCGCCTTCCGCCGAAGGCCAGGCCCTTCCCGGAGCGCCTCGCGTGTGGACCGTGCGGAGGCCACGCGCCTGATGCACACGCGGAAGCAAGGGGTGCCTAGCCGTAGTAGAAGGGCCGGCCGCGGGAGAGACATCCGGTTGCGCGCGTGCCCAGCTCTCGCCTAGGCCGGCCGCATCATGTGTGCCCCGCTTCTTGGTGACCCTCTGCCTCCTCCGCCCGAGGGGACGGGCGGGGGCCCAGGCCCCCGACGCCGCGGCTTTGTCAGCGCGTGGGCCCCTGGAGGCCTGGGCCGGTCCCTCAGGATCAGCACCGAGGAGGAGGAGGAGGAGGAGGAGGAGGAGGAGGAGG